CTCTTCTGTTAGCATCTTCTTAAAAGTACTCTTTAAAAGCACAACGTGGCCAGGGTCAGCAATTTTAAGCATTATGCTCTGGCAAAAACTCAAAATCAAATGGAAGTTAAGAACTGGAGTTTGGAAAGTAAATACAAAAATAATTGAGTTCAGCAAACATGATAAAAACTGAATATTACTTCAGATTTTTGCTTTCATGGCAGTGTAGCCTTTCCACCAAATAAAAGGAAAGGTCTTCTATCTTTTGGGTAACCTGAAGGGCTACTTGTAATAGTGACTGAATAACATGTCTGTGGTTTGCCATCGCACACTATTCTTTTCTGTTTGCTTCAGATATTTCACACGTACCTTTTTTTTAACAAACAATAGAAACAGCAGTCTATAAATTTGAAAGCAAGTTGTCCATCTGAAATAAAATTGGGATGCATTGATAAACAAATGTCATAAAGTAAAAATGCCTGTACAAATTTTATCCATTTAATTGTCTTGTGGGAAGTGGCAAACCAGTTTTTCTACTCAGGTTGAAATTTTTATTGGCTTGATTTCTTTCTTACCTGCTTTTGATATAACTTTCTGGAATCAGTGGAGAAAACTCAGTATGAAACAACAAGAGGTGTACCAGAGCTACATTTCAAATGTCTTGATCAGAGTCATTTCAACCAGCTTCTTCACTGGCAGGGGCTGAACTTGAGCCTGAACTTGGAGGAAGCATCTCAGAAAGACAGACGAAGGGGAACAGAGAGTGCATGGCCCTGATTTCTCACTTTGCATCCACCATAAGTGTGCTGTCGCCTCTGTGGTGCAGTGCCTGATGGTGCACAGTCCCAGGGCAAGGGCTGGGCCTGGAGCAGCCAAATGGTAATGACATCCACTGCCTGGAATCAGGGTTTTTTTCAGGAATTTCCAATCAAGGTGCCAAAAACGGAAGGCCTTTAGTTCACTGCACAATGGAAAAAAAGGTTTTGCTCTTTTCTCATGTGATGAATTATTTAAAATGTCTAACCTGAAATTCCCTTTGCCTGTTCCAATTAAGGAAAGGGATGTACATTGCTAAGAAAAATGTGAGCTGCTGAAATGTATTTTTTTTTGTTGCTGGGAAACATTTTCTTCCACA